CGCCAGCGCCTGCCGTGAAGGCCCTTGTTTTGCTCCCAGCGCCGGCGCCGGATCCGGCGACTCCGTTCCGTTGGACGGAACAGTGACGTCGGATTTCTTTAACGGTATAATAAGTCAGGCAAGTGACGACTGTGCCGGCAAACGATTCTACTCTCGCGACTCTTTCCTCGAAGCCGCCAGATCGTACGGAGACTTCGGTTCCTCCATTTCCAAGCGCGAGATCGCCGCTTTCTTCGCTCACGTCACGCACGAGACCGGATGTAAGTGAAATATGCTGAATAATAACAATAATAATATCAAAATATTTTCCCGCTTCTACTCTATGATCATGACACATAAATCATTATGATATATTACAAAATCTGTGGGACGTAATCATTTCGAATTGTTTTGGCAATTGAAACACAGTCATGTGCTACATAGAAGAAATAGACGGGCCGTCCAAGGACTACTGCGACGAAGGAAACACGGATTTCCCATGCGCGCAAGGGAAAGGGTACTACGGCCGTGGCCCGATCCAACTGTCGTGGAACTTCAACTATGGTCCATGCGGCCGAGACCTCGGCCTTGACCTGTTGGGTTCGCCCGAGACGGTGGCTCAGGACCCGGTCGTGGCCTTTAAGACGGCCTTCTGGTTCTGGACGAAGAACGTCCGAGGGAGCATGAACGAGGGTTTTGGTGCGACCATCCGAGCCATCAATGGCATGGAATGTGACGGCGGAAACCCAGGAGCCGTCTCGTCGAGGGTCGGGTATTATAAGGACCTTTGTGCGAAGCTCGGGGTCGATCCCGGTGATAACCTCTCTTGTTAATAATATACAGTTATAATACTGTAAGAGGATGCAATGTATTGAGAATAATAATAATAAGATATGTGACGAAGAATGGTCGTATGTGTGTATTGATCTTGAGATTGATTACTCAAAATGTATGATGTCATGAGAACATTTAAACAATATATAAAAATTTGTGATATTTTTCAATTATATAAATGTTTTAACGTATAATGTACTATTTTTTTTCTTCGTTTTGGGGCCATATAAGAACCAATTTTTTTTTGAATGGTTTCTCGAACCTTCGATCTGACTACGTCCACCCTAGGTCCGAGACCAACCTTTATATATAGACCATTTTGATCCATAAATTACATCAATCTCCACCAGTGAAATCGATCCCAAGACTTTGAAAATGACTTTGTCTTCTCTCCACCATTGGGTGGGTCATAAAAGAACCAAGTTATTCATTTGGTACTCAAGATTTATAAAAAAAATGTCATTGGAATATAAATATAATGTCTTAAAAATGTTAATTCTTACGAAATTCCCCGAAAGACCAAACTTTCACAGAAATTTCTCAATCTTTTACTTGTACCCAAAATTCTCAACGTCTCTCTCAAAATCTTCGAATGTAGAGTAAATGTCTTGAATTTTCCAAATTGAACAAAGAACCAAATTAAAAAAATGAATTTTGTAACAAACTATAAATTGATCTTCAGACATATATGTACGCATTTATAATAGAAACCAGAAACATGGATAAAAGTTGTGATATTTATTTTCTTCGTTTTGGGGCCATAATAGACCCAAGTTATTCATTTGATACACAAAAGTAGGGTGTCAAACGAGCAGCTCGGATCGTTTTGGGCTTAGCTCATTTGACTCGGATCGTTTTGGGATCAGCTCGTTAGGCTCGTTTTCTAACGAGCCAGAAAAACCTCGGCTCAAATCACTCGCCAGTTTTCCGATCTGAACGAGTTGGCTCGTTGAGACAGGGATATATAATATTTTTTATTTATATTTATTTTAAATATAATTATAAATTTAAATAAATACATAAAAATTTAATAAAACACTAATATCATTTAATATTTTCAATTATCACCATCATAATAATTAGTATATTTATAATATCATATAAATTATATGCAAAAATTAATATAAAAATATATTAGAGTTTTTTTATATAAATTTAATTTATTTTAAAAAAATATCAGTTCGTTGAGCAGCTCGCCACCTCGTCGAGCCATACTCATTGAACACGTGTTCAATGAGCTCTGGCTCGTTTTTTAACGAGCTGAAAAAATTACGGTTCAGATCGCTCGTTTTTTGGCGAGCCACGAGTCAGCTCGTGAGTCGGGCTCGTTTTGACACCCCTAAAGTAGAAAAAAATAATTATATGTTAACCATAGAAATTTAAAAAGAAATATAAATATCTTAAAAATGTTAATCCTTACGAAATTGTCCAAAAGACCACCAACCCTCTTCACAGAAATTTGTCAATCTTTTATTTGTACCCAAAATTTTCAACGTTACTCGGAAATCTGCAATTTCAGAGCAATGTCTCATGAATTTTTGAAATTGAACAAAGAAATAAATTTATTTTTCAGACAGAAATGAACGCATTTATAATAGAAACCAAAAACATGGATAGAAAATCAGACTTTTTTTTTTGTACGATTATATTGGTCGCGTAACGTTAATGCAATGAGATAGAAAAATCTATAGCGACCGGCGACCCAGCGATGACTTAGACGATGACTTAGACTTATGACAAAATAACATTGTAACTTTCCATACCGTCTTCGTCACGGTCTCATCTCACGTCATCCACCCACGACAGATCTTCACTATAAAAGACAGAACCATATGCTCAGTTCCTCCACCAAAAAACTCAGATAAACAAAAATGGCGGTCTCGAAATCCCCATCGAAAGACGCATTTACCCTCACCCTCCTTCTCCTCGCCATGTCCAAAGCCGTCTTTTCCCAGAGCCTGGAGGGAACGGTGACGCAGCAATTCTTCGACAGTATAAGAACTCAGAGAGTGGACTGCCCTGGTAGAAGCTTCTACACTCGCGGCAACTTCCTCCAAGCCGCCAGATCGTACGGAGGGTTTGGTTCCTCCATCTCCAAGACCGAGATCGCCGCTTTCTTTGCCCACGTCAAGCACGAGACTGGATGTAAGTGTATTATTATGAGAGTAAACCCTACGGAACTTAAATCTAATCAGTTCTCTGTCCTTGTCTTCTGTTTGGGTACGTGGATTTGCAGAGCCATGATCATGTTCACCGTGTTTTTTTTTTTTTTCTGGTAATGTAGGGTTGTGTTACACTGAAGAAAACGACCGGTCCAACAGCTACTGCAACGGAGACGACCCGGAATTCCCATGTGCACCAGGAAAATCATACTACGGCCGTGGACCGATCCAACTAACCGGGAACTACAACTACGGCCTCTGCGGGCGAGCCCTTAAACTCAACCTTTTGAACAGACCCGAGTTGGTGGCTCAAGACCCGATTGTCTCCTTCAAGACAGCTTTCTGGTTCTGGACGACCAATGTCCGTCCTGTCCTGAACCAGGGCTTTGGTGCCACCATCAGAGCCATCAATGGTATCGAATGCGATGGAGGAAGACCTGACACGGTTGCAGCCAGGGTTCAGTATTATAGGGAGCTTTGTAGGAAACTTGGTGTTAATCCTGGGAACAACCTCTCCTGCTAAAGGCTTTCCTATCCTTATTTACCTTTTAAGAAAGATCGGAGAGAATGATAAAATAAAAATATATCCCGAGATGACTTGCAAAATGGATGCTTTACTGCTTCGTTTGTAATAGAAATGAGTTTGTAAACTCTACTCTTTGAGATTATTTCAACATAGCATCAACTTGGCATAAGCTTCTGTTTCAAAGCTTCCTTATGAGGAGGAATATCCTCTGGTCGAGCTCGAAGTGAGAGATGTGAGCTGGATCTCCCTGAAGCAGCATCAGTAATCCGCCGTACGAAACATATATCTCCCTGAAACCACGGACGACAATTAAACCAAAGGGTGACCGTTAGGCGAGTTTGATTAGATTCATCGATCTATGTGTGGACAAGACAACGAAAGCTTAAAATTCGTTTTTCAGGGTTTGGTGTGGATTATTACGCTCGGGGAGATTTGCCTTCGCGCTCTGAGATCTTGTAGAGCTTCCCATGCATGACGTACTCGTACTTATCCGCAAGCGATTTCTTCACTCCCTGGAATGATAGAAAACGAAATCACATAACATTAGTTCAGAGGAAAGACGACATCATAAGACTTTTATTATAGGAGAAAAAGCATTCTTGTCATAAAAAAGATATCTCCATAGAATTCAGACAATCCGAGACTGGGAAACCGAATTCAGCCAAGCACTGGAATTGCTTAAAGCTCGAGTCTTTACTCTTTCC